ATGTCCTGTCACCTACGCAGAGGAGGTAAGAGGCCTTCAGGGCAAAGAAGTGGACAGGCTCTCACAGATTCCCAGTATGTCCTGGGGACTGAGCAGTCACCTAGGGCCTGGATCTGGGCCAGACTGTGCATGAATGTGATGGATAGGGGCCCTGAGAAGTGGGACAGGATGGAAGGGACACTTGAGACCTTGATGGAACTCGGTTCTCCTGCCCTCACAGTCCACCTCTTTACATTGCACTCTCTTGGCCTCAGTGAAGCTGGTTGTGCACACACAAGACTCCATGTTGCTTCTGAGTTTTTGCTCCCAGGAGGCAGTCAGACCGGGAAGTGCCAGCTCCAGGTTACAAAGGGGGAGACGGAGGTGGCCCAGACCCACCGGTGCACGAGCAGGGTAGTGATACAAACTCTCCCGACTTCACATCTTAGGGCCCATCCCCACACTGACTCCCAGAATATAAACACGTGGAACCACCTGGGTCAGGCTGATGGATGTGCTTTTCAGCACCTCCGTGGCACCCCTCCACTTATAACAGGTGAAGCCACTTCCAAATCTGGTCTGCATGTCCTGTTTTATTGTGTGTATGTGGTGTGACGTGACATTGACAAGGTCAACTGGAAATCCTGGAGCCTTGACTAGCAGGACAGCCCAGGTGGGGATGACATGCAGCAGGCTGGGGTGGATCCTGGAGCATTTCAGAGGCTGATGTGGCTCCAAGAAGATAACTGGTGGAATTGATTGATCATCAGAGACCTTGGGAGAGATCCAGAAAGGTGGAGCCCAGCCAACAGAAAAGCCTTAGAAGTGTCCTGCTTCACTGTGGTTCACCTACAGGTCAAGCAACTGTAGAGTTCAGATTGCCTTGAACTTGAGGTAGCTAGGGGTCAACCCACACCTCACTCTCCTACACATCCTTCAATCCTTCCGAGTTGGGTTCAGAGGCCTTTCTGAGGGGCTGCCAGGCTGAGGTTGTTGCTGTCACTCCTCAGAGCTGTCATAATACCTAGCACTCACCCCTTCACAGCATCCTAGCAGATGAGACTTCTCTCTGTGCATGTGACCACCTCTCAGATGGGCCCCGAGCACCTGTAGGTAGGCTCGAGTCTGGATCGTGCCTCTCTGTCCAGTGCCGGGTGAGTGAGGCTGAGCCCGAGGCCTCCCCGTGTTTGCTGAGTGAAGGAAGCTGAAAACAGGCTGCATTACCATTTCTGTCTCAGTAAATATTGACAGAGGCGCTCTCCCTCGTTGCAGTCTGGTGGCAGTGTGTCTGCTGTCGCGGGATAAATGCATGTGAAGCTGGCAAAGGCTCACTGCTGCTATTGTGTGCAGTGTGTGTCTCTGTGTGCGTGCGTGTGTGCTTCCTCTTGTGCTGTATAAAAAGCAAGCGTCTCCATAAATCTCCATACTGATCATGTGCATAAAACAACCACAACTCAACTTCGGTCCAAATTCCGAAGGGAGTGTGTGCAAAGAATGGTGGCATGGACGGGACTGGAGAAATGAGCCAGGCCACCCCTGATTCTTACAGATGAAGGAGTGAAGGCCCACCCAGCACGGAGTCCTGCGAAGCTCCGGGGGCTAATCAGAAGCAAAGCTTTGCCACCAACCTGGTATCCTCACCCCAGTCTATTATTCACCCTCCAGGAGCTCTCAACTTAATTGACTTAATCTGTCACGGAGATGTCATACTTAGGAAGGGACTCAAAACTGAAACTGGTTATGTCCACAGCGAGGAAGAAAAATGAGCCCATCCACGTGTTGTGCTGACTTTTATCCTTTCAATCTCAGGGTCAACGGCTGCTTTAAGCAAAGCCAGAAGGTGGAAGGAGATCTACAGAGACGTGTGAACTCTTCCAGGATCTGACCAGGTGAAATTCGTACCTTTCCTTGGATGCCTTGTGGGCAATCTAGGTTGAAGGAAGAGCTCAGAGTCAACTGCCTTTGCCCCTGTCCCATCCCTCTGTCCCTGTCCCTTTTAGGACACTGTGGTTGAGTATAGAAGGTTCTGTGCAATTTACAGATGTATTACATTCTTATCCATGGAATCATATTTCCTGCTAGAATAGTAATGGGTTGAATTCTGTCCCCTCCAAAAGATAGGCACAAGTCCTAACCCTGGTACCCGTGAATGGAACCTTATTTGTAAAGAGGGTCTTGCAGATGGAATTCAGGATCTCAGAGTTCAAATCATCCTAGAATGAGAATGGGCCCTATATCCAACAATGAATGTCATTGTAAGAGAAAAGAGAGAATTGAGACACAGAGAGGAAGGCCACGTGAAGATGAAGGCAGAGATGAGGGTGACCTGTCTACAAACCCACGAATGCCACTGATTGCTGACAGCCACCAGAAACTGAAAGGGGTGGGCTCTTCTCTGGGCTGTGGAGACTCTGTCTATCACTATCCTGGCACACTCAGGTGTCCCTTGGCTTGTAGAGGGCATGGTCCCCATGTCTTCACAGTGTTGCCTCCTTCTGCATGTCTGCTTCTGTGTCCACATTTCCTGTTTGTATAAGGACACAGTCACATTGCATTATGGTCTATCCCCGTGGTCGGCAAACTGCGGCTCACAAGCCACATGCGGCTCTTTGGCCCCTTGAGTGTGGCTCTTCCACAAAACACCACATGCGGGCACGCATGTACAGTGCGATTGAAACTTGGTGGCCATGCACAGAGGTCAGTATTTTGTGGAAGAGCCACACTCAAGGGGCCAAAGAGCCATGTGTGGCTCGCGAGCCGCAGTTTGCCGACCACTGGTCTATCCTAATGACCTTTTATCTTGATCATCTGCCAAAGTCCTGTTTCCAAATAATGTCACATTCATAGTTCCCAGAGATCAGGACTTTAACAACCTTTGGGGACACACACAAGTCAATCCATAACAAAAGTTATGGGACAGATTCTTCTCTAGATTTTTTAGGAAGAACCAACCATGCTGACACTTTGATTTCATAATTCTGGCCTCCATAATTGCGAGAGAATAAATTTCTGTTGTGTTGAACTGCTCAGTTTGTGGCATTTTGCTATAGTGGCCCCAAGAAATGAGTGCACACCTCCCAAGGTCATTCTTGTCAGTTTTGGTGAATGAGGGCACCCCTCCCCAGGGTCATCCTTGCCTGTCTTCACTCCCTCCCCTCTTCTCCTTTTGCTGCATAATCTTTGCCTCTGCTGCCAGCACTTAAGCTATGAGTAGATTTTATTTTAATGCAAGCTATAAGGAATTTATACTCCATTGTATTATGTCATGGTTATTGTGGAGGAAAACACTTTTTAGCAACATGATCGCTTTGACAATAAATGTGTAACTGGACATATAACTCTTGTTCTTTCCTATCAAGGGCACACAGAAGTCATTTGGTGCTGCTGTGCTAGGCTGGTGTCCACGATTCCCTTGTCTTTCTCCTCTTGCTTGCGAGATGGCTGCAGGACACAAGCGCCAAGACCCTCACACACTGCTTTCAGAGGCAGGGACTGAAGTTGACATGGGCATGGCATATGCCCTCCTGGGCCTTCTTCCTATCAGGAGAGAAACAGATGTCCCAGCCTCACAGTGGATCTCCACGCACATCTCCCTGGTGAGATTCCATCTCCTGGCCACCTCAAATGGCAAGACTGGCAAAGAGAATAGCTTGCTTTCTAAGCCGCTCTACAGAGGACAGACAAGGGAGTACGTAGTCCACCAACAACCCCTGTGCTGGTCCCCAGCCCTGCCGTTCAGGGCTCTGGGTACCTTCCCATGCATTGGGCACCTCACTGTCTTGGTCTAGCTCAGCGATCAATCCTGAAACATAGCATCCATCAGAATCACCCAGAAAACTGGTTAAAATACAGGTTCTTGGTCCCGCCCCCAGCGAGTCTGATAAACCACCCAAGGATGCCAAGGGTGCCCGTCTATGGACCGTTGCCATCATTATGCCTCAAGAATCATAGGGAAATCAGGAATGGTTGAAGGGCTCCATGCTTCACGCTGTTATTGCCACTATTACTAAAAATAAAAGACTAAAAAGAGGGGGGGAGAGAGGAGGACCTCCAGTGGCTCTTCAGTGAGTGGCAGCCTTTCCCGTTAATCCGCAGCTGTAAGACACTGACCTGGGATTTTGGAGACTCGCTCCAAAGCCTGTTCTGCCAGCTCCAGCTCCTGCATGAGGCCCCTTCTCAGCAGTGAAGTGGAAATGCTACTAGTAAACTGCATTGACGAGGACTTCCTTCTCTGCTCTCACTTCTATGACTCATTGTCTTGTTCACTTAGTAAAACTCACTGTCTCTTTTAATAGATGGTTTTGAGCACATACCCAGGGTCACGTCTTATGCTGGGAACATCCGTGTCCCCACGTAGGCCCCATGAATAGAACTTTTTGATTCTTCGTTTTGCAGATGTAGGCATCAAGGTTAAACGATCGGTCTCTGCGTGTTCGATGGCGGGAAAGCTATTGAATAGAACTGCAGGCAACGAGCACTCGCTTTGCCTTGAAAGCCGATTAGATCACCCTTCAGCGTGGCGGCCTTTGAAGGGCCTGAAGCAGAGCCTTGGTGTTCCTGAGCTCAGAGGCAAGAAGAGGCATGCTGCCTCTGCCCAGAGGAGATGTTTGTTGTCTTTTGCAAATCAAAGTATGAATTGTTTCATGGATCTGGCTTTCTGGTTTTAGTATCTTTAAAAAAAATAAAAATAGTCAGAGCCAGAGGCAGAGATGGAAAGGATCGCAAGCCCATTGCATTTGGTAGCAGCCCATCGGCTGTCTTCCTGATAGACAGGAGTCATTCAGCGCTCAGCACCTCTGCTGGGCCTGATTGCAGCTCAGCCAGAATGAATATGCTTTTCTCTGAGGGACTTCTGGCCCCTTCTGCAGCTCCAGGTAGGGAGATGTCCTGTGTAAGAGTGAGAGAGCCAACTTGTCATGGCCGCCCAGCCCAGTGCCTCGTGCCAACTCTCCGCATTCCAGAAGAATTGAATAATTGCCGGGGCGGAGGCACCGCTGTCACAAACAATTCTGAATGCATTCTGTTAGGAAGCAGAGGTCTCTTCCTGCCATCAGCAGGGGCTGCTGGAGGCTCTTTCCAAGCCCCAGCAGCTGGCCTGTGGAATGGGGCACAGAGAGCCACCAGCACGCAGGCTGCCCCAGGTCTGTGGGCACCCCTGGCCGCTCTTCAGGCTGGAAGAGAGACATCCTGGGAAGCCGGAGTTCCTGTTGAGCCAAGGACCCTTCTTCCCTTCATTTCCTTCCACGCTCTGTCATCGGCGTCTGCAAGCTCGCACTTGACCGGGATTAAGGAGAGCGTTGGCATGAGCCAGGTGGGAAAGGCGGAGGGAGAGGTGTGGCCTGCTGACACCGCTGGGGTCTGACTGCTCTTCGGTCCAGCTTGGAGGGTAAACCAGTGTCCCACACAGCAGCCAGTTGCTTGGGCATGGGCTGAGTCCTAACTTGGGCAGCTGCCTACAACCAGCCAGCGACACAGCAGCTGTCCCAGCTCTCCCTGAGCGAGGACATCAGGAACCTCGTGTTGGGCATGCAGCTGCGGTATTTCTTAGCACTTCTGAGCAGGGAGCACTGTCCTCATTTTAGGTTTGATTACTTTTGGTAGGCATTAGCTACTAGAAGCACCTTTAATGCACTTACTTTTTTACAAATTGTTGTTTATCTGATTAGCTCCTAATTTTGTCCTGAGTTGTCAAAACTATGGCTGTGCCTGGAACTGGAGATAATAATACCAGTTAGAAGACTATGTGACATTTCTTCACCATCAACTGAATAGTTACTAGTACTATTATGCCTCTTATTACTACTATTTTCAATACTCTCATTATTACTAATATTATGACCATTAATTCTACTCTAATGACTACTCTTTCTATGGTCATTATTGCTAATACAATTTCTGCTATTTCTACTACTGTGGCCCTGATGAGGATGCTGACTACTGCTGCTGATGGCCCACAGCTGCTACTAGTAACAATACTGCGGGTAGTACCAATACTGCGGCTAGTACCAATACTGCGGCTAGTACCACTATTACTACTGCTGCTAATGCCCCTATTACTACTGCTGCTAGTATCACTATTACTACTGATGCTAGTACCCCTATTACTACTCCTGCTAGTACCACTATTACTACTGCTGCTACTGGCCTTTGGCTATTACTATGAACACTACTACTGCTACTACTACTAACACTATCACTACTGCTAGTACCCCTATTACTGCTACTGCTGCTGCTCCATGGCTATTACTATTAACACTACTGCTGCTAGTACCATTATTACTACTGCTGCTAGTAGCACTATTTATTACTACTGCTGCTAATACCATTATTACTACTGCTGCTAGTACCACTATTACTACTGCCACTGCAACTCTGTTAGAAAGGATTGGCATCCACTGCCTCATCCATCGTTCATGCTAATCCATGGTATAGATAAGGTTTAGGTCAGTTAAATAAGGAACAGGCTCAGCAAGTTAGTAGTTGAGTAGAGCTTTCAGTCCAGTTTTATTGGACATCAAAGGCTGCGTGTTTAGTGACGTTGCTATGTTGCCTCTGATCTCAGTGTATGAAAAAAGTAGTGAGAAGACCGTGGTCTAGCTAGGCCTATCTGCCTCCCATAAACTCGGCAGTTGTTACAAGCATTAATATTCACATATTAATTATGAAAAAATAAGTATGACTCAGAATCTTGATCCATACTCTGGGCTGGGGCCACAGAGATGATGAGGACACCATCTGGGGCAGGAGGTGCTTGGGCAGAGCCAGCAGTTGGGACGAGCACTGCCCCAGAGGCCAGTCAAAGGCAATGTGGAGGAGCAGATGAAACCGCTCAGCAAACCTGTGTGCAGGTGGCTTTGGGGGGCCACCACGTGAGCTGGATAGTGAGGCCAGAAGAGAAAGAGCTGGTGAGGTGGGTGGAAGGATAGGAAATTCCAGGTGGGGGCACGGCACGAGCAAGGATATGGAGGAACAAAGCGAGGAGGGTTTCAGAAGCTGGTCTAGACTTTCTAGAAGGTTCATGCAGCAGGGCCCACACTCCAGGCTCTCCTAAAGGGTATGCCAGTCTCCGAGCAGAGGAGCAGGGCTGCAGGAATCCACTGACCTGTCTGTGTGCAGGTCTCCCTTCCTGGTTTCAGTTCCTTTCTAAACTCGCTGTGCCAACCAGCAAACTCATCATGGCACCTGGGCTGCCATCTCCCCTTGCAACCTATAATAAGACTCCTTGGTTTAGCCACTCAAGCCTACCTTTCCTCCCCCAAACACTGTTTCTCCAGAAATGGGATTTGGCACAGGACCAACAAACCAGGCTTATGGCCTGTCTGGAAGTCGAACTGTGACCTCCTGGTCCATAGATTGACGCTCAACCACTGAGCCACTCCAGATGGGCAGGCGACTTGTCTTTATTAACGTTATAGTTTTTGCAGCTCCTCTCTCCCCATCACGCTCTGAAACATCATTCTCTGTGAATGGTTAATTCCTCTTGTCACCAAGCAAGCCTTTCCAACCTGCTGGTGATCCTTTTATTGAGGTTTTTGTTTTGTAAGTGTGAGAGATCTCACCCATCATTATTCAAAACATCGCTCCCAGTCCTTCTCTGTCTCTCTGTCCGCATTTTCCATCAGAAGGGATTTAGAGCCTCTGAGTCCATGCTGCACACCTGTTAAGTGTTCTTTCATGTTTTCCATCCTCTACCCATTCATGCTTCCTTCTGCGTGTCCCCTCAGGTCAGCCTTCAAGCAGCCACTTCTCTCCACACTGGACTCAAGCTGCTCTTCAGCTCTTCCGTGGAGAACATTTTTGAGATAATTATCTTTTTAGTTTCAAGAATTCTAGACTTGAAATTGAAGACTCATGCTCTTGTTTCATGACCTGACCTCATTTTGTGGTTGTGAACCCTTCCTTTCCTTTATGTGAGAAGATGCCGCTCAATGTGTTTGTCTTGTATCACTTTGGTCAGCCAAGGTGATTTTTATTTGCTTTTAGTTGTGAAATCATGATGCATTTGTGCTGTGGAAATAAATGAAGTCTGGTGTTTATTGAGTACCTATTATGTGACATTCAAGGTATGGTGACCAATAGTCCTGGTTTGCTAACTGAGGGGTTTCCTAAAACATGGTACTTTTAGTGCTCAAACCAGGAAAGTCCCAATCAAATCAGGAAGAGTTGGTCACCATGAAGTGATGTTCTGGGACCGTCATGGTAAATGAGACATACAAGGCCATGGAGACCAGCATTCCAATGAAGAGAGAAAAATAATAAACAAACAAGCAAATGCAAGATGTAAGTAATGCCAGGAAATCTGAGAGTAAGAATGGAAAAATTGATAGAGGATGACTCTTGAGAGTGGATTGACCTGGAAGGAGTTTATTAGGGCAAATGATACATTTTTTTCCTGAGACATTTATGATTTAAAAAGGGGGCAACTATGTAAATATTTGAAAGCTACAATTTCTAAGCAGAGAGAATAGCAATTACAAAAATTCTATGGAGGCTTAGATGTGATAGAGAGGTTGAGAGCAGGGAGAGAGAAGAAGAACAAGGAAGAGGAGGAGGAGGAAGAGGGGAGAAGAGAAGAGAAGAGAAGAGAAGAGAAGAGAAGAGAAGAGAAGAGAAGAGAAGAGAAGAGAAGAGAAGAGAAGAGATACCCAGTGTTGTTTGATGATTGTAAGCATGTAGAAGGGACATTTGGAAAGGAAGGCAGTGGCCAGGCCTGTTAGGGCCACACAGAGCGTGGTAAGAAATTTGAGTACTACCTTAACCACAACAGCAAGTTTTTGAGGGTTTAAGTAGGACAGTGATGCACTGTGATTCCTCCCCCAGGCTCCCAAGGTGCTGTATGGAGAAGGGATGGCAGGGGGTGTAAGTGGAAAGGGAAAGACCAGCTAGAAGCTGATTGCAGTCGCTCCAACAGGAAGTGTCTCAGGCCGGGACTAGATTGATATCAGTAGGAATGAAGCAAGGAGTGCAGATTTGAAATACAATTTGAAGGTAGGATTGACATCATTTTCTGATGTTTTGCAGAGTTAGGAAATGGAAGGGATGAAGCATGCCTCCCAGATGTGTGGGCTTGAGCAACTCAATGAATGCTAATGGCCAGGAGAGGAAGCCTGGGGGAGGGGGGGACTATGAGCTGGGGGTGAGGAAGCCTGAGCTCTGCTTTGGCTGGCTATGTGAGAGATGCCTTTTAGACATCAAACTATAGATGTCAGGTTGGCAGCGACATATACAAATTTGGTGCTTACTGGTGTGGGCAGGCTTGAAATGTATACGTGGGAATTATGGACAAAGAGATGGCATTTAAAGGCAGGAGTTTGGGTGGGATTACAGAATGAGGCAGCATAGAGGAGGAGGTTGAGAACCTTATTCTGGGTCAGTCCAACATTCAGAGATCTGCCGAGGACCAGCACTGACCACAGTCCGGAAGTCAAGCAGCTAATGGGCTCCAGCTCCAGACCCAGTTGCGAAGGGGGTCCCAACTTGTGGCCACTGTTTTTCAAGAGCAACTCTTTTTTAAAAATGTATTTTTATTTATTTCAGAGAGGAAGGGAGAGGGAGAGATGGAAACATCAATGATGAGAGAGAATCATTGATTGGCTACCCCCTGCAAGCCCCACACTGGGGATTAAGCCTGCACCCTGGGTATGTACACTGACTAGGAATCAAACTGTGACCTCCTGGTTCATAGGTCGATGTTCAACCACTGAGACACACTGGCCAGGCTCAAGAGCAACTTTTATCATAACCCCATCCTGCAGTCCCCTGTGAAAGGTGTGAGGATGGAGTCCTTGGAGGGAGAAAGCAAAGAAGCCCTTGGCCATGACAAATAGCTCTTCAGGGACATTCTTCATGATCAAGAAGCATGTCTTCATCCTCAGGTCCCCCCAGAAAGCACAAATATGAGTAACAGCCTTATCCCAACCTCTCCCTTCCTTGGGTCCAGACTCCCTGCCTGTTCACCACCCCTCATACCTGTCAAGCTCTTCTCATCCCAATTCAGGCCCCGTGCACTTCACTCATGATGACTAGCCTTGGTCTGCTGGTCTACCTGTAAAGCTCAGACCTCACCCCATGGGAATGTGGTTACCCAGAGTATTGAATGGATTAGCATCTACAAAAATAAATCATTAAAAGAAGGCTTGCAGTTTCCATTCCACGGCCCCTCTCTATCCAAGGAAGAGTGTTGGTGGGTGGAGGATACCGATGACTACACATTGTCTGGGCATCTAGTCTGCAGGTAAGGGCATAACTAACCTGCATACTGGCAAACGCCTTGCTTTCTGTCCCCACACTGCGCCTCGCCTGCTCAAACCCTGTTCCGCTTTGGGTCAAGCTGGCTCACCAGGGATAACATTCGTATTTAGGACAAAGCCATAGGCTCTTATAAACCAGTCTCAGTGTTCTCACCATCTTCCCATGTGCATCCAACTCGCTTGTTCAAAAAACTATACGTTCCCATCATCCCGGTTCTTTCCTTTTAGCTGGCAAAGAGCTGAAGTCTGTCCGCATAGGGATACGATACATTTTCAGCCTCCAAGGAGTCCAGGAAACAAGGAATAGCCTGCCGCATGCACAAGTGTCTGCATATTTTCTCCAAAATTACAGAAATGAAAATAATCGGATTCATCCCATGGCCTCACTCCGATCCTATCTTGCAAAGCATGCCTGGACTGCAGAGAAAACAGGCAATGGCCTATTTTCTTTAGCAAAATGATTTTAGAAGTAGAACACACACTTCCCAGGAAACGTAACGGTGGGGATTCATTGATATATTGCATGAAAGGAACTGCTTTCAGGCTTAAAACACACACATGAACATATACACAAACTCACGCAAACTGCAAATATAAAAACATCTTGTTCTTTATGAGATGTAGGAGAAAATTTGCCATGAAAAAAATAAGTCCTTTAAAGCTACACAAAAGTAGACCACAAAAGGAAGAGGCCAGTAGAGGGAAGAAATGAAAAGATAAAATCCAAAATTTTAGTGTTTTTTTTTTTGTTGTTGTTGTTGTTGTTTGCTTATTTTATTTTAATAAATATTTATTGTTGAAAGTATTACATATGCCCCTTTTGCCCCCCATTGCCCTCCCCTCTCCCCCCTCCCCCACAAGCCTTCACCACCTATTGTCTATGTCTTTGGGTTATGCTTGTTTGTTTTTAATGCAAGTAAAAATTAGGATGATTGAGGGAGATTCTAAGACATTTATAATTTTGGAAAATAAGTTTTTAAAAAATTTCAGAGCCTGTCACATGGCTGTCTGTGTGTTATTTCAGAAGTTTTGAAATCAGAACCCACTGAAAGGGTATCTGAAAAAGGGAGGCAAGAAGGAAGGAAGAAAAGAGGGAAGGAAGGAAGGGAGGAAGGGAGGAAGGGAGGAAGGGAGAGGGGAGAGGGGAAGGGGGATTTCCAAATGAAGTACATGAAGAAGAGATAAAATCATTCCATCAGTCACTGCAGAGAGGACTCTCACTAAACCTGTCCTCCTGAGTTATTTTAAAGAGAAAGGCACATATTAGTGCACAGAAGGGATTTCATTTCATTGTGCCATTTCCCTTCTTAATTTTCCCCTCTGACCCTTGTCTTCAATTGTGTTGTAAGTTATGCCCTTCACAGATCACCCGTACCATTTCGTTACCGTGATATGCAGAACAAAGGCCCCAAGTTTGCCCATCTCCTAATTGCTGAAACTTATAAGCAAAGGTCCTACCCACTATCGCAAAAGGGATTTTGGAGATGTGATGAAATTAAGGCTCTCAGGTGGGGGTATTATCCTGTGGGCCCAAAATAATCACAAAGGTCTCTATAAAAGAAGGGGATATGACATCAGAAGCAGGGGTCAGAGGTCAGAGTGATGCCATTGTCAGAAGCAGACCAAGGGCCAAGGAATGTGGGCAGCCATTGAGAGCTGGACAGGGCAAGGGGATGGGCCATTCCCTGGAGCCTTGAGAAGAAATGTGGTCCAATGACACCATGATTGTAGGACCTCTGACCTCCAGAATTGTAAGGAAACTAACCTGCATTGTTTGGAGCCACCACGTTTGCAGTGGTCTGTCACAGGGGCCACGGGAACCTCACACAGCCACTTGCCAAGTGGCTCAGGATGTATGACCGATGCAGGTGCAGCCTGCTCTTTCTCTCAAGCCCCTCAGGACTTCTCCATGGAGTTTCTGAGGCTCAGAGCCTCTCTTTGACTATCCAAGTCTCCTCATCTGGTGGGCCAGCATCTTTATCTTTAGTGCCAGGACAATCCCATTTAATAAGGAGAAGGCTGAGTCCAGCCCCTGCCTGGTGCCCTCCATAAGCACACGGATGCACCCTTCAGCCTCCATCGGCATCCCGTTTTCTGGGGGCAGCCATGGAGATCTATCACAACCCAAACCTGACCATCTGTGCTCCTCAGAACTCTAATGCCCTCCAATCTTCCTTCGCATAAAAAGCTTATAAGCACCTAGCTACCTGCCCTGCCCAGCACCACCCTTACCTGCCTGCCCTCAGCTCCCTTCGCGCCCCACTCCATGCTCTAAACTCAGGGACCTTCTCTGCTTCTCTGGGTCCCCATGGGCCCCAGGCAGGCTGATCCCTATTGTGCTCATTGAGGCCATTTCTCTCCACCGGGCGTCTCTTCCCCCTCCTTTCTCCCTGACTCCTTCCCACCTTCTCCCAGGGAGCCTTCCCTGCCATCTCCTCTCCCTGGGGCTCCTCCCCTCACCCCAGATCCTTTTGACTCTTAGAATTTTCCCGAGTTTACACAACTACTGGTTCAACTGTCTGCTCTTCCTACTGCTCTTTCATTTCCTAGGAAAATGATTTTGAAAGTGGCGTCCTGCCACCAGTAACATCAGATTTTTCAAGAAATTTCTGAGGAAAGTTAATAATCAGCTCCCACCCAGACTTACAGTAAGAGAGGCTCTGGTGTGGGGTCCTGGCATCCGTGTTTTTGAAAATCATATTTGGTTGTGCAGCCACTGTCTGGATGGACCTGCCCTGCCCTAGCCCACTGTCCCATCCATAGTGATACAGCTTCCTGTCTTGTTACTGCACCTCAGC